AATATTGGGTTGGGCCGTTTAGTATTTTGAATACAATAGGTGTACTCGTCAAACAGTTAAATATTATTATTTCTATGAATTTAATGGGTAACTTTAAAGATTAGGTGGAATTACTAACAATACTTCACCGTAATCAGCAGCAAACATACATAAGGAATTCCAGTTATTGCAACAGACGCTCTGACAGCCCGTCAACATAAGACCTGCAGAAGGGTTAACGAATATGCTGAAAAAATAACGAGATAAGTGAGTGTAAAGTGACTATTTATATCCGGTCGTCATACGCCACGAGACATTCCGTCAGCGAATGGGAGGCCCACAAAAGGGTGAAGATCAATAACGCGCTGCATTTGGAATGGAATAATTTGCACAGGTCCTCGAAAAGTACTAAATTCTCGAGTCCATAAAAAGTCAAGTGCCCAGAATGTCTTACACACATACGGAAATTCAAGTCCTCAAAATATTGCAATAGTGTATTTTCATATAAATTCTTGAGACCCGAAGAAGTCAAGTCCCCAAAATGTCTTATACACTTACATATATATGAATTTGAACGGATGGTGTTTTTGGCCTCTAGGGACTCAAAACGAAAAATTACATCGGTCCCGGGTCCAGGTGTTGCCATGAGTACTACGGTAATAGCTTATTCCCTATATGTGAAATTCGCTAAAAACCTAACAATTCTATAGAATAACTAGCTGTACCCGCTGGCTTTGCCCCGTTTAACTAATTAATTTTCAAGATTAGCTCGTTCGCATGGCTCAATCACGTCCAGGTTGAAGTTCGTTCGCTACGCTCACTCACCTTTAGGTTGGAGCTCGTTCGCTGAGCTCACTTGCCTTGGGGTTAACTCGCCTCCAGGTTGAAGTTCGTTCGAAACGCTCACTCAGCTTTTGGTTGCAAATTTGCTGTTGTCATAAATTGTTTAATTGACACAGCTGTTAAGATTCATTAATTCCTTTTAAATATGAAAAATCATAAGGTTAACATGGGAAACTCCAGAGCTAATGGGGCGAAGCTCGAATGCCCTATCATAATAAAAATTACTCAGTTTTCCTATTTAATGCCCAAAGAATCGGTGTATCGAATTTCAGCCACCCAGGTAAATGGGAAGTGGGAGAATTAGTGATGATGAGTGAATGAGAGTGAGTGTGTCAGTAAGGGCTTTGCCTTTTATAAGTATACATAGCACATTCAACCAGCTGTTAGTTAAAACAAATTATATTGGACTAAAACAAATCGATGATTACAAAGAATACTTTAAAAAATAATTTGAACATCCTACTACTGTATTTTACTATGCATATTTAATTAATCTGCCATCCTCGTACCGAAGAATTAAATGTATCAATGGTCAGCATTACACATAGTATAAATAAGCCAACCAACGTACGTATGTATTTGAATTTTCTTCCAAATGCTGAATTTGTGTCACAAATGCTGAATGTTACAGCTGTTATGTTAAGCAAATTATATTGTACTAAAAGCTAGCTAGAAGCATTGACTTATTGGAGAAGGTTAGCATCGGCTGCTAGACTTTTTAAAAACTAAAACTTAATTTATAAAAAACTGGGACACTAATTTTAAATTATAGCTTTGAAATTCCCTAGTTCTCAAAATTGTCTTTCTTTGAACACAAAACTAATGAAAATCCATCGTCTGGTTGATTCAGAATCGTGAAAAAACCCCATTTACGTTTTAATAATATATGATAGTTTGGACAGGTTTCAACCCTTCCGAGGCGTAATACATTTACACAGTTTATATGTAGACGACATTATAACTCATAAAATAGTTCTACAATTAAATGGATCTCCTTTTACAAACGTATATAATAACCAGAAATTTTCAGATCGTCCTTGCGGGTATTTTATGCCACAAATTTTGACGAAAGGCTATACCTATTTACAGTATTGACCAAACAGTTGGCAAGAAGCATTAATAGATATGCTATGTGCCAAATATGATAATTTTAGCTCTATTCTAATTATGACAAAACACAAAGTAACTAAAAGCGAGTTTTGTTGGTGTAGTAAGCGTTGCAGGAGGTCTACTTTACACTGAATCGATGTTCACTTTTATTGCTTTTGATCTTCCGGCACTGTTGACTCAGCGAAACTGAACTTGTATTTTACCGTATTTCGTTATATTAAAACTACTGTTGCATTAGGTCAAATTCCCAATAAGTCAATTGCTTTAACATAGACCACGTTTTTAGCTCGGACTGTATTATTTGACTTACTGGGACTTTTGATCTACAGACACTGCAAACATTGTAGTTTTTGACCTAGCGGCACAGGTATAAATTATTTGATCTTCCGGGACTGTTGACTTCCAGCAACATTCCCCGATAAAAACACTACATGATTCATTACCGCCATTGACGCACATGTCACTTATAATAAAGCTATTCTATGGACATAAAAACAAAAGTAATGGTTAGACAAATTACCAGTGTTGGGAAGTAGCGCGCTAATTTTTTTGTAGCGTTAGCTGTAGCTACGCTACTTTTAAGATTTTGTAGCTTTAGCTGAAGCTAGCTAAATTTTTAAAGTAGTTGTAGCGGAATTTTAGCTACTTTTCTCGCTACATTAACATTTGTTTGAGATAGTGATTTTGATCATAACCTCAACCTTACGTGAAACAAAAAAATTAGGCCTACTTTCTTGGCTTCATACAGCTGGTTGCAGCCGTTTCATTCCCTATTACAACGTTGTGTGGACATAGAGGCCATTAAATGAGTGTTATCCACATTTTTGGCTCTAATTACCTTAATTTACTACTCTATGATTACTGTCAGATAAAATAAAATCGCTAGATGCAGACGACGTTTAAACGTTACCGGTGACAAGAGAAGCTATTGACTGCTTGCAAGTGATTGACAGGGAAATTAGTAATCAATTTAGTTTCTTTATTATATCGATAATGTTTCAACTTGGAGTTAAATGGAAACCAACACACCTTAACATAATGAGAAAGCTGGTCTTTCAACCTTTGCTTCAGCTGTTGATTGTGGTTTATCATCTTTAGAACATTGAAACATAATTAACAAAACCAAATTTATTGAACTCACAAATCAGACTAAACTAAAAAGTAAACAAAACATAATAATATAAACATTCATCTGACAGATGTTATAAATAAAACATATGGACTTATTTCTTGATACATAACACTCCTCCCCCCGTCAGGTAGTCCTTGAGATATGCCGGTGGTCGACGGATCGGAACAGGTCGAGGACTCGTACTCGTTGAAGTGTTTTGGGAGTTTGATCTAGAGACACGTGACCGAACAGGTTGTGGACTCGTGCTCATGCTAGTGGAGTCTTGAATTAAACCAGAAACGTTGGGACCAGCTAAACCAGAAACGTTGAAACCAGCATCTTCTTGATGAGGGTTAATTGATCCTTCTATACTACTAAAGGAATTACGAGATTGTTGCATCACTGACGGTCGCATTGGTTGTACGTCTGGTATTCTCATCATAATAGGATTGCGGACCATTGATGGTGGTTGAACTGGAGTGATATGTTGAGCTTCTGGTGTTCTCATCTGAATAGGATTCTGGAATACTGGGTGGAATGGTGGGTTTATTGGAGATTCAGGATTATCCAGTTATCCTCGTCGCCAGTTTAGAATATTGAAACAAAACCAAATTTATTGAACTCACAAATCAGACTAAACTAAAAAGTAAACAAAACATAATAATATAAACAGTCATCTGACAGATGTTATAAATAAAGCATATGGACTTATTTCTTGATACATAACATCATCACAAGCCCTTCCTTGGTTAGATTACGAAGATTTTTCAAAGGTTTACTAAATTAACAAAGAGGAAATTACCTGATGAGATTTAAGATATGCCTAGACTACATGGTAATGTTAATGAAAAAAATCTCCATATAACATGAAACTTACATTGAAAAACTAGCATAGTTTGCTCCTGCTAACAGCTCTTGTAAAGGACTGAGGCTATGGTTTAAGACGAATACCAAGTTCCAAGTTCAATTATTAGGAATATATCTGTTTAGTCCTTGCAAGAACAAGCCTACTATAGCCAACTTGTTACATAGCCAAGTAGGCATACATGTTATTTTTACTTTACAAATTTCAACATGTTTAAATTAAAAGCCGATTTCAGGATAAGTTGCTGAATACTGTTTTCTGTACCAACTAGGTTGAAGCACAATTTGCCCTATGCATAATGACAATAAAGGACGATTTCTTGACATTGAAAAGTGTTATTCATAGAACAAGTATCTTATCACTTTAAAAGTTATAGCAATGTCGTTTTTAACATTAAAAGTAAAGACAGGCAATAAACTCCAATTTCAGTAGGCTAGGCTCTGTAACACAAAAAAGTATTTTTAAATAATCTTTTTACAGTTTTATTGGTCTTAATTGTTGATATAAGACATCTATAAATGAATCTATATTAAAGAAATAAAATGAGCGTTTAAAATATAGTTTGGTTGTATGTCCTTTGAACTTAATGAAATTTACATTTAAGATGCTTAAAAATAATGCAATATTTAAAAATAAGTACTAAATGTGGTGGGACACCCAACTATTTGGTTCTGTTGTTGTAATGTTAGGTTTATAATGATTTGAAAATATTGCTTAGTATATTTTAATTAGTGTTGTTAGCCTTGTCTTGTGATTGGCTGCCCCCAACTGCAAACTTACGTGGTCCCGACAGTAGTTGTATTTATCATTGACTGTTGATTTTATTCACTACAATTAGGCTCCAAACCACTGGGTTAGAGAATAATCAAACAACTTAACAATTTTGGCAATGGGGGAGACTTTAACTTGTTACAACCATACGCTCTACTACCAGCCTTGCTTTGAGCCAATTAAACCGCAATTTTGTATGTTAATAGTAAAGAACTAATTCATTCACAATGGTAACTAATTCCAAAAAGTTAGCAAGCAAAGGTAAGTGCTAAGTCATGTTTTAACATCTTAAAACTACTCTTTTTAACTATTGATGCTCACCTAGTGACAAGGAAGGCAGGATCCTTGATGACCTCGGTGCCGACCCTGACGTGACCTTGCTGAACCAGCTTGGTTGCCATCTTGACAGTCTGGCCCATCCGCAGTCGAACCATGACCACCGGCAGACGACGGCGGCAGAACGAGGAGGCTGTGACACCATCGCACGACTCCAGGTCCCACTTCGTGTTGATTAAGCCCAGAATATAGCTGAGGAGATCAATGTGATTTTAGTTGGAAATAGAATATAGGCTTTGACTCAAAAGGCCTAGACAATGAAAATAGGCAGAGTGATTATTTTAAAATGTTTTTCTACAAGAGTGTATAGAGACTAAGACCACAGGTGTTAAACAGGCGTTAAAATGTAAACACTATTTGGAAAATGTTTTTAATTCGTTCAAAAATTTTCAGAATAACTAGATGTTTTAATAAATGTTTACAATCTCTAAAGTCCATCAGTCCTATCAGACAAAAAAATTAAATATAGACCGACAGCAGTGCTGCGGTTAGCATATTTCTGGCATCCACCACTACGAGTGCCGTGTAGTTAAAGGCGCACGCCGCAGCAGCGTCCGTTGGTAGCTGGATGACGATTTTAACCATTGTGGAAAGTTTCAATTATAGGCCAACCTTAGGGCTATGCCTTACAGATCTATAAAGCATTTTTTTAGTTTAATCATTGGATTTAACATATGGACCAACAAGATCCGGGTGACATTTAATTGCGAAGCATTAGTTTTGGCTTGAAACTGTCAGATACTGTATTTGCGAAGGTTTATATATAATAGTTTTGTCAGCATATCTGAAAGTATGCAAACCAACTGCTGTGCTTAATATAAGAAGGTTTTAACTGACTATGATAAGATCCCTGTGCGTAAAACGGGCACACAGCTAGTCAGATAAATTTCTGATGAAATGTTCAAAAATGTGTAGGCCTATACAATATATACCAAACAGATACTATACAAACAGGTATCATTGATTCTATCAAACAATTATTTGTTGTCAACTGCTGTAGCTAAATAAAAATAGTTATTTTCTCCTCGCACTACATACTCTCCAAAATACATCTTTGCATTCTCACTGATGGCAAGTAATTCATCTGGATTGTCAAAGAAATTACTTCCCATGTATCAAACGATGCTTTCAAGGAGGTTGGGCACTTTTCTATTTAAGCTTCAGGTCTGCATATGATTATCCTCAGTTAAAGAGATAATTCTGTTCTTCATGCCAACTATAGAACTTTATTGTATTTTAAAATATTAGTAACAAAGAGACTAGACTACTTACAGTTTTTCCAACAATGCAGCACTTGAATCTGATCTAAATGGTTCACTAGGATCTATCTCCTTTATTTTTCTGGCAACTGTTCTGATTTCTCTAGATAATTTGTTATACCTATGAAACACAGTAACAAGTAGAATAATGGTAATACATCAGATGAATTAATATTATACTTATTGTTTACCACAAAACAATGAGGATCTATGGCAATGAATTGTAATTACCATCGATAAAATGAGTAAAAATGCTGGGATACAACCCTATTGCTTAAATCAATTGGTTGGTACAACTATCCTGTTGATGTGAAAAATTGTGAAAGTGGTTTTCATCCTAGACACAGTCTATCCAGAAATTCTGGTATAGGCCTACCACGTCGCAGGAGGTATTAAGGTTACATAGATATAAGGTGTCCAAGATATAATCTTTCCAACTTCATTTTAAAAAATAGTTGTTTAGCCTCCGGATTACTGTATTATACTTAAAATGGTTTAAAATACCTGCATATAGTAATCCTTTGTTGCTGATTTAGGCAACTAGTTTCGGTTCTTGTTTTGAACCATCTTCAGGCCTCAAGGTGTCAAGTGATCACTTCATTCGAAGGTCGTTAACAGAGTTCAATAAATAAAACATATACAAAACACGATACACGGAACGGACACACATTACAAAAAACACGAAAAACACGAAGGGACATTGACAATCGATCGTGACCGGGCTGAGGTAAAGTCTAGACTGGTGGTCAAAGTGGTCTATGACGTTGTCTCTGTCTTCTTATCACCGGTGCGTGTTCATTCATTCATTGTTCCCTCCAGTATCCTTATAGCTGTGTTGTAAACTAACTAAACTCTCCTTCCAATCCAACTATATTTACAACACAGCTATAAGGATACTGGAGGGAACAATGAATGAATGAACACGCACCGGTGATAAGAAGACAGAGACAACGTCATAGACCACTTTGACCACCAGTCTAGACTTTACCTCAGCCCGGTCACGATCGATTGTCAATGTCCCTTCGTGTTTTTCGTGTTTTTTGTAATGTGTGTCCGTTCCGTGTATCGTGTTTTGTATATGTTTTATTTATTGAACTCTGTTAACGACCTTCGAATGAAGTGATCACTTGACACCTTGAGGCCTGAAGATGGTTCAAAACAAGAACCGAAACTAGTTGCCTAAATCAGCAACAAAGGATTACTATATGCAGGTATTTTAAACCATTTTAAGTATAATCTTTCCAGTGGCTGCACTTTACTTGACGTCCTACACTCATTCGAATGAAAATATCGATCGATATATCGATTAATCGATTGCTTCATTCGATATATCGTTTGGTTAGTTAGGTAAGGTTAACCTAACCTAACTAACCAAACGATATATCGAATGAAACAATCGAATCGAAAAAACAATCGAATGAGTGTAGGACGTCAAATAAAGTGCAGCCTTTCCAGTTAGGTTAAATTCTACAGATCAATAGTTTTCATTCTATTCATTGTGATTGTCTACCAGAGCTATTTAATATAATAACAATTTTTGTCACAGCTCTGGCTCGTCCTTGTATTGGATGTGACCCTGGAGGTTTCAGGTCTAGTTTTGTTGTTATCTTTTCAATCAAATTTAGGGTAACCCAGCTAAGAAAATGTACCCAAATGATACTATGACTAGGGCCTAGGCTACACTCACTTTGTGTAATCTTCTCTTTTTTGAATACAATATCTCCTCATCACCTTCACTTCATGTAAATTATTGTCCACTTCCCATGATATAAAATCAACTTTTTTTAAGAGCTTCTTCTCATGAAACTTTAACTTTCGCACCATTATTATTTTCGGGGTTTACAAAGATTGTATAGATTTAGGGTTATCCTATTTTAAATTTAAAGTCCTAGGCTCAGTCAGTAAAGTAAATAACACAGGTTTTAGGTTAGGTTACACACATAGCTAACATCAAAATGACGTGACGTGACGAGACGACGAGACGATTGACGTGACGAGACGGACGAGACGAGACGAGACGAGTAGTTAGTTAAGTAGAGAGAGAAGTAGATAGATAGAGTATGAGGTATGAGTGTAGAGCATCGATCTCTAGTAATAATACAGATCGATGGTATCGAGTGCGAGTGATTGGGTTGGCTGTTGAGTGTTGCAGGCCGTGGCCTGGTAGAATTGGCAACGTCGCAAGTGGTGTTGTATAGTGACAGACGTCCCATAAGATAACATGGCACTGTCAGACAGGTGACATCAGCCACGGCCACCTTTAACTACAGGCCGCGGCCTGGTGGAATTGGCAACGTCGTAAGTGGTGTTGTTTTGTGACAGACGTCCCATAAGATAACATGGCAGATAATGTAAAAAAATATTAACCCAGGCAACCACAAGATGATAAAAGGATATTAAATTCATAAGTTTGTGTACAATTGACTACATGGTGTTAAAATACCAAGTCAGCCAAAGGCATTAAGAAAGAAAAAAAAAGCAAACATGGCAGACAGGTGACATCAGCTCATTAATTCGCATTTTATTGATTTAAATTTGAATTTATAAACATAAATTTATTAAAATATTGGAAATACAAATACAAAATTGAAAACCGAAACAATATGAATAAAAAATATAATATCTGTAAATTTTAAGCGGGGTCAATATTGTCATAGTCCAGTAACAAATCTTTCGTAAATACACAAATACCATTGGCTGGTTTCAAACAAAGCAGCTGTTACAACACTACTTGCAACGTTGCCACTTCGAAGGCCACGGCCTGGAGTTAAAGGCGGCCGTGCATCAGCTCATTATTTCGCACTTTATCGATCTAAATTTAAATTTATGAACATAAATTTATTAAAAATTTAAAATAAAACATACAGAATTGAAAACCGAAACAATATGAATTAAAAATCGATATCTGTACATTTTAAGTGGAGTCAATATTGTCATTAACCAGTTAACCAATCTTGTTTAAATACACAAATACCATTAGCTGCTTCCAAACAAAACAGCTGTTACAACACCACTTGCGACGTTGCCACTTCGAAGGCCGCGGCCTGGAGTTAAAGGCGGCCGTGGAACTACTGTGAGTTAAGACAAAAATTGGCATTGCCTTCAAAGAAGACATTATAAGCCTCTTTTGATATAAAATCGTTGCTTGGATGTATATAAAAACTCTTTTATGCGTATTTTAATAGTTAAATAGTAATATAGTAATATTTATTAAGTAGTTTACTCCCAAAAATGACCCTTTTCCCTAACAAAATTTCAAAGTCCTATAACTTTGATCAAATAAATCGGCACTTGCACCAAATGGTTTGGAATTTAATAAGGAATTTAAAAATATAGCTAAAAATTGGAAATTGCCAATAGTAAGTCACTTTTCACTTTCCACCTCACATATCAATAAGTTGGCGCTTGCGACCTTGGGCACGGCCGCCTTTAACTACGGTAGTTAAAGGCGGCCGTGCCTTGGGAGATTAATATTAATCTACGGTAAGACAGACAAAATATAATCGATAGCATCACAAGTCTACGTGCCTAATAAGAAAGAAAAGAAGAATAGCTAGGTTATTTTTTGTTGTTGTTCTCACTTCTTCTAGAACAAAATTGTCTGCTAGTGCTAGTTGAAGGAAGATCGAATCGAAGTTCGAAGTAGTTGATCTTGTTAGTTGTTTTGTTAGTGTGTGATTGTTTACTAACTTAACTTGCTATGTCATTATTCAACACATTGTTTTCAATTTCAAATTATAATTAATTTCTATGTTACCACTTCTTTTGATAAGTTTTTGCATTGACTTTGTATAGTCAATGGTTAGTGTTAATGAAGTTACCGTACTCCTATCATCCTCATAAACTGTCAAATTTGAGGTTGATTGTGATTTTTATCTATAAGTTCTGAAATAAAAATAGTAGGCTTGTGAGGCCTAGCTCATAGGCTAACTAGGTAATTCCAAAGGGAAGCCATAGGAAGGGTAGGTGCTAAGTCAAAGGGATTCATTTTCCCGAGTTGTTCAAACAGAATTGTTTATAAGTCTCTTTTGGATAATGGAAGGACTTGGACTACCTACAAGTTTTGGTCAACAACAAAATCAAAGGAAGCGATTTGTGAAAAATCATCGACCGAGATCGAATAAGAAGCCACAAATAATAAACCATTTGATTGATAATGATGTCGAAGCAGTTTTCAATAAACATTTTTCTTTTTTCCACGAAAAGATACATGATAAAAATGCATGTAAACTTCCAGAACCATCATCTCTATTTCAAGTGGAAAACTGGAAAGTGAGTAGAAAATAGTTTTAAGCTGTATGTTTAGAGCGTAATAGCCAAAGCAACATTCAAGAAACTTCAAAATAAGCGTAGGCCTACTTGTTATAATATTAGCTTTACTTTTTAAGGTTGATTACTTATTCTATCCTTGTCACCAAACTGAAAGCCTATGGAATCCTTGGTTCATTTCTCTAGTGGATAAAAGACTATCTTACAGGGCGGCGCTTGAATGTAAAAGTGCCCCTTTGCAGCTCTGATGAATTGATGCAACCCTCAGGCGTCCCCCAGGGCTCTTTGTTACCACATTTTTTCTTCTAGAACGCTAGGCACAAGCCTTTATGCCTAATATTTTTCACATTACTTCAAGCTACACCTAGAGGATACGGCATTATCACTTAAAATTTGTTGGTGATTTGAACCAGGGACCGAAGTCTCACGCCTACCACCTTATAACCTCCATTAATGACATTGTGTATAAGTATGCTTAACGTGGAGGCCCTTTTTTTGCGGACGATGTTAAGATTTTTGTTGAAGTTTCATGACAGACAGCAAAAACACATTCGTACACACTCACGGGCACACGCAACGGTAACTGTGTAAATACACAGAAGCCTTAGGATATACCAGCCGAGACCATCTGCTCAAAGTAGAGATTTTTCAGTGCCGCCAAAACTGGGAACGATTTTCAAGGATTTTAATGTAAAGGGGCTGTTGAAGACTTTTCTTTTTCATAGACCTTTTCTTTTTCCCTTGACCTGTCAATATAATTGATTATTTGCATTTAAGTTATGTGTAATTATTTCATATGTGTTTTTTTGTTGTTTATTTTTCAATACACATTGTTTTTCTTGCTCATGTTAACATGGTGTGTCTCATTTCTTTTAATTTAAATATTTTTACATTTCCTAATCCGTTCCACAGACGGCAAGTGGTAACAACAAAAGCCCTGTCATTTATGTGGTTGCATATACATGATGAGGTATATGCAATGTGATCGAAGAACACAAAATTCGTGAACTACCCTGAGATACAAATTTAAAATAGGACATAAAATATTTTGGGCACTCTATTTTCAAAATTAATTTCTAAAGGCTAAAAAACCAATGACAAAATTGTGATAGATTATAAATTGTTGTGTTAGATCTTTGATATTTTAATTTCAAGATGTGGGCTTCAAGATAGTATGGCGTGATATGCTCCTCACAATAATCCAAATATATGCTTTTCATATTGATCGTTATTGTGCAGAGGCGGCCCTAGCCCTACATAAAGGCGAACAAGGGGGTGCCTGGGGCCCCACACTTTCCAGGGGCCCCAGGCACTGTGGTATTTCAGATATTAAGAGAGGCCCGCTATGGAACTTCGCCTTGGGCCCCGCAATCTCTTGGGCCGCCACTGTCATTGTGATAAGTTTTTATACATATATAGGCACTTGGTGGTGTAGCGAACTATAGTTGTTCAGTAAGCCTATTAGGATAGAAACCTATAGGCCTATCAAAAAGTGTTAGAAAAAGTATTTTGTTGAATTTGTTCTAAGTGTTTTCAAATAAAGTTTAAAGTGTATTTTTTTAATGGTTTTCACTGTGCAAATGTATTACAGGATAAACGATTTCAACAGTTGAAAATAGAACTGAACAAGACGAAGAGCAAGTTGAATGATTTAAATTTGAAGGATTGGCATTTCCATACTTCTAGCACAAATACTGCTGGAGACGTTTTGAAAAAAGTCAGGCATACTTTTGGCCCGGAATTCCTAACCCAGGTAAATATATAATAGGCCTATAGAGTTGACTTGACCGTTTCAAGAAAACATGCATAGGATGCCATTTCTTTATAATAAGCCCTTTCCACATGTACAACCTTTTCTAACAAATAATGAAATTGTAGAGTATAATATCTGCAGTCTAAGTAGGTATTCCGAGGAAGGAGCAAAATTTCCACCCTTACGATGTTTTGTGACTATGATGTATAACTACCTATGTCAAGTGTTGTTCCCTCTCTATATACACTTCCTTTATTGTTAGGCCTAAGTGAAAAGATCCTTGTTAATAAAGATTACTTATATAATCCTGTATTGTATATATCGTACTTGCAGTTGCTTCAAATTACTCTTTAAGAGTACTTGGAGCCTAGACATTCTAACTCGTAAAACAATTAAAGAACTTCAAAAAAAAATTCTAATCTCACAATATACTAGATATTTAAATTACTATCACTCTGGAGTTTGAAAAAATATTCTTAGATGGTATAAATAACTCTTCAGCGGCTATTTGAAATTAACGAAATCAACATTGCTCTTATGGCGGGCAAATCCAAGATGGCCGTTAGCTTCCATGAACTCCCTTGGAAAACAATTCAAAACTACAAGGAAAATTTCTAATCTCACAGTACCGGTATACTAGACATTTAAATTATAATCACTTTGGTGTTTGAAAAAATATTTTTGGACGGTAAATAACTCTTCACAGCTGTTTGAAATCATCCAAGATGGCCGCTAGCCTCCAAGGACTCTTAATATGACAAATTTAAGTTATAACATCTTTCAAGGATATCTGTAGCTGTTCTGGATGGACAGTTCAATTTAGTCCACCTGTGTTGCCTATGCTGTGAGCAATTGACATGTTCACAGGCCTGGTGCAAGATGTACGAGTGTTTGTCGATGTTCTGGATGGTGCCAGAGCAGTTTCAAGGAGGACAGTTCAACTCTGTTCACCTCTGTGAAGCTCCTGGAGCATTTATATCAGCTCTCAACCACTTCCTCCAGACTTGGTACCCAGATACTCAGGTAGTTTGAATGTAATTTAATTTTTTATTTAAACCAAGAATAGTTTTGAACGTTTTGGGAAAAAAACTTATTTGTATTTTTATCTCAATCAATATTATTTGTGGATTAAATTTATGTATGAAAATCCATATGATAATGAATCTCAATCAAGAAAGTAGTCCTTTTTGTAACAGAGTCTGCACTTTCATTCAACGTCACTTAAGCTTTTTCAATAAAGAAAGATTTGAGATGGCCTATCTAAGTTAAAAATGGTGACAATATTAGAGTCTAGCTATCTCATCGATATCTGTAGGGTGGTTGTTCAGTTCAAGCTCTCCTAATAGTTGATTTACATCACGTGGTGTTACAGTGGGATTGGCTGGCAACCACACTGAATCCTTACCACGAGAGTAACCCACTCTCCCACATGATCCAGGACGACAGGTTCATTCTGCACACTCTCCAACACTGGACGTTCGGAAGGGATGGGACGGGAAACCTGATGGACTTGGGCAACCTGAGAAATCTGCAGCAGCAGGTGGAGAACAGATTGGGAGGCAACGTCATGCTGGTGCGTAAAGTCATCTTCAAAGAAAAACTTTTATTTTACAACAAAAATACATAAAATAACCTCTTAACAATTTGGTAACAATAGATCAGTTTTCTTGTTTATATGTGCACAAATATATAACCTCAATTTTTTTACCTCTTAATCAGAAGCCAGTGAGCTAAATTTATTTCAAAAATAGCCTTCTTTATATAGATTTATCACCATCCTTATGAATCAGCTGAAGACAATTTTAATGTTATAGTATGTCTAAAATAATTGTGCGGTTGGAATTCAACATATGATTTCCCTATCATGGTAAATCTCCCACTCATTCACCCTTTTCTACACTGAAATCCCCTGTAACAATCATCTGTTTTATATTGCAGACAGGTTTTTTAGGAAGCATTTGTTTATTATGATCGAACTACACACATAATAAAACAATAAGATTTATTTTAACAATAAATAATCTACGTATCATTTTTAATTTCACTAAAAGTTTTGTTATAATGTAATATACATAATCCTGGACTAACATTTTTGCTTTTGATGGATTGTTTTAAATACAATTTCAGTTCTGGTAATGTAACTATACATTATTAAATTAGTTAATATCGTGGTAAACTGTTTTAAAAATTCTAAAGTGATTCTTCACTTCTTTATTTAGTTGTTATTTTAATACCGTCGGTAATAGGAACTTTGTCAATGTCTCTAGCGGAGCCCTAAGGTCAGATCAGGATGAAAACCATTGGGTTATCCTGTTTATGCCTGAGTAATCAGTGTACAACATTAAACTCACTAGGTAAATGACAAGTAAAAGCATTCAATTTTCTTTTACTGAGGATAAACTAACATAACAAATTGATCATACCATTTTGAATGAACGAGTTATATTCTTGAGTGTGGCAGATTGCGTGAAAATATAATAATAATATCTAAGTTCTTACCGTCAACGCAATCAGGAGTAATATTTCACTACGGCCGTTTGCGTCGTCAGGTGCGTAGTGGTACACTAAACTATAGTCTTGTCACATTTAACACGAGTTTTCTTCATTTGCATTGCGTCATGGGGTGAATAAATAATACACATATATGTACAGGACGGACACACGAAAACACGAATACACGAAAACATTTAGAGCACGTGCACGGCTTGAAAACTGACGACCGACTCACTGACCGACTTTTTTGAGGGGTTAACTCAGCTGAACCTACTGTTATAGCTGACAAGAGACAACCAAAGTTCCATTACTATACAAGTGCAACTCAACAAAAACTGTTGAAAAAAGCTCACACTTGCTGCAACTCAATCAAATTTAGAACTACTTCGTAAGGGCTTTGGGTTGAAGTTGACAGGATAAGTATATTATTTGTGCGATAAATCAGGTAATTTGCTACTTTTACTAATCCTACCTCTTTGTATGTCCACTGAAAACCTTTTGTAAAAGATCTTAGAATTCCATGTTGAAAGGAAATCATGGTTAAAATGGGGATTGTTAAATTACCAAATAGTTAGAGAAGCTCAAAGTGAGTGAACAGTTGTCAGTAGTTAATCGTGTTTAATGTTTGGCAGGTAACAGCTGATGGAAGTATAGATTGTCAGACCAACCCAGCTGAGCAAGAAGCTCTCGTGGCTCCCCTACATTACTGCGAGACACTCACAGCTCTATCTATACTGCAGCCTGGTATGTGTTGCATTTCCTATCTCTACAATTTATTGAAGTGCCATGTGTCATTGCTATGCAATGCTGAATTATCTTCTCTTGCTTGAGAGCTTAAAACCTACCTCCAAAGAATTAAGTCAAATTTAAGATCATCATTAAGATCTTCTCTTTAAGGTCTTCCTTCTCAGATAGCTACGTGATGTGGTCACCGAATAGTACCTTATTACTGTATACTTCTGCCTGTTTCACAGCCATGTAATGTATGGTATTCTCCTCTGGGCTATGCTTTTACTTGCATTGGAATATTATTGCTCTAGAAGGAAGCTGTGAGAGTGATGACATTAACTGAATAAGAGGAGATGTTTTCATCCATAACCAGTGCTCGATTTGTGGGGGAACTGGGCAGAACGGAGTTCCGGTACCTCTCTTTCGGGAAGATAAAAATATAGGCATATATAGGTACACAAACAGATATAAATCTCATTAAATAGGTTACAGTTCCGGCACCTCATTTTTTACAAATTGAGCACTGCCCATAGCCCATTCCAACGGCTTGGCATCTTGACGGTCTTCGGACAATGCGTGTTCAACTACCTACTATACATGCGTCAAAACATCTCTTATATTATGAAAGATGACAAGATGTTCACCAGTAGGCCTACAACACAATTAGGAGTGTCGAATCTCTTATGGCAGATTGCCAAAGTCCCTTAAGAGCTTCCCAGTGGCAGCAATGGAACTCTTCAACAGCCTACCTGTAGACATAAGAAACTTTTCTTCTTTTTTTTTGTCCTAGGACGCTAGGCACGAGCCCAGAATTGTTTTTAACATTACTTCAGTAAAGACCTAGAGGTTACGGCATTATCACTTAGATAAAATCAAAATCCAATGGTGATTTGGCGGGATTCGAACCCGGGACCCCAGGAACTGGAGTCCCGTGCTCTAGCCACTAGACCAGCTCGCTCCCCAGACATAAGAAACTTGGAAATTACTAAGTTTAAAACCTCAGTGTGGACAAAGCTTGTAAATAGACGTAGGAGATGTATGTGCTAAAAGAGTTGGATGACGTGTCACTTTTCTAACTTGCCGCCATCTCTGTAAAAAAATCTATATTATTATTGACACAGTCTATCTAGGCCTCCTAGAGACAAACCAACAGAGTTATCAAGTAGCTAGTATTTATAAAAAAATGAAACATCTATTGGGCCTATTGTCAGTTTCCCTTTTTATATCTCTACTTCTTTTCCCTCCTCTTTCTTTGTATAGTTTTGCACCTGACTGTACTGTTTTAGGTGGCAGTTTCATGCTGAAGATGTTTACACTACTAGAGTGCGAAAGCATCTGTCTTCTGTACCTACTTGTGTGTGTGTTTAAGACTGTCAACGTGTTCAAGCCTGTCAAGAGCAAGGAGGGCAACTCGGAGGTTTATGTCGTCTGCACTGAGTACCTCGGCCAAGACACGCTTGAGCCATGGCTGCCCACTCTGTTAGACAAGTATGGTATGTACAGTATTTACAAGAAAATAATTTTTTATTTTAAAATATTTCTTGTATAGGCTTTATAAAAATTATTGTAGGCGTTTTCCTTCACGATTAAAATGATAGTGAAAACAAGGTAATAGTGTTGCAAGTCTATCTCAGTCAATAATTCATTAATGTATGATTAATGCTTGAATCCCCAAACAATTTCCTTGTTAACATTGTAATTTGTTGATAACCTCTTTACTAAGATTTATCAGACATTTTCAAACTATAAGTCTGCCTCGAATTTCAGGTTCATCAATGTCAAAGGCTATGTTTGCTGAAGAAGATATTCCAGAAGAATTTAAAGTTCAGGTTTATGAGTGTGCAAAAATGTTTACGGATATCCAGGTAACTCATTTTAAGCTGTAGGCCTAAAAGAAATTTATCGTAAACTTAAATGGTTTAAAATATCACCTTGCTGTGTCAAATGGTCCTAGGTTAGTTAGTAGTACGGTAGTACACAACTATAATTTCGGATTACTAGAGTCCATCATAAAGTGAGACAAAAACATCCATCAAAAATGTAATATAAACCAATTACCCTTAAATTCAGTGATCTAGAGGCTACTTAACGATATTAAGTTGATTATTTTTTCAGAAATCATTTTAAGATAGACTAGTTTTTTCAGATCTCAATTTTATTTTCTGTTTTTTATATTTAAGATAATTTCTTAGATTGGAGTAATAGAGAGAAACTTGGATATCTTCTACTCTCCGACTCCTCCCAAACTGCTCTATTCTCGATTGATCAAGCAGAAGGTCGCTGACACGTATCTAGAACACTACGAGATGCAGCCAATAGACAAATACATTGTCGGAAATAAAGTGCTGGTGAGTAATTTTGTTTACGTTACTTCTACAGAATATAACTAAGGGAAGTATTTAAGCACAAAGTAATTCCTCACTGGAAATCTTTAATACTATTCTTTTTTCATATTTCAATAGCTGCGCTAAATAGTGCACATAAATCACTATGAAAAAGTACGCACACAATAGTTGCGCTATCGCTCAACCCCCACTTTGCATCCCTCTTTTTCAGCGTTTTCTGACTTGAATCCATCTCGTATCTACGATTTCCTGGCCAGCATTATTTCTTGGTTGTACTAGAAACCTTATTAGTTTTAAATTTAAGTTCTCATTGAATACCATACACTATAGCCTATAGTTTTAGTACATACAGTGTATAGGTACTAAAACATGAGTACTATTGCCATTGTGAACTCTGTGACTGTTTCATTTGTTGTCCAATGGTGTAATGATGGATTTTACAACATTATATTGATCTTATAGGGTATCTTCAAAAACATATTCAAAGCTTTACCAGACATTAAAACACTTATTTTAGGCTAACATTAATCGTACAAGTTTTAATATATTAAAGTAATTTATTTAACCAGCAGATTGTTTTGTAGGTTTTTTTTTCTACGCCAGTGGCATTTCACGAGAGAATAAATGTTTAGTGGATGTGCCGGGGATTGAACCCGTCCCTCCCACACCGAAGTCTGAGACGCTAACCACTAGGCTAGCAACACAACCAATAAAGGTTGTTAAAATTAGTTGTTTTATGTTTTTGGTGTTAACTTTTGAAAAAAAACGCTGCATACTTCTTTTTAATTGTCCCAAAATATAGCGTAAAGGTATAATATTAATAGTTTGTATGATTGCAGGCAGAGACACCTAGTTTCAACTTGGCGCAGAGGCAAGAAGAAGGGACATTCAATGACCGGTTGCGCCGTGCCGCGCTGGACCAGCCTCACGGTGCCGTGATGTGCCAGTTGTGGCAGAGAGTAGTGGAAGTGTCGGCGTCTTGTGTGTGGCCGCACACTGACAATGTCTGCTGGTTTGTGGTGAGATTAGTTGTCAACATTGGCTTTGACACTTAACTCCTAAGTAAATAAGAAGTGCATACACACTAGGAGAAGATAGTAGGGCGTCACAACTAAATCACTTTTTAAACCAAGCTGATATTCATTGTACAATAGCTATTCCCATTTTTACAATATGTATTAATTTGACAAAAATTGCTAGCCTCGAGGTTAGGGTCTTGGACTTGCCTAGAACATGCACATAAATATTTAGGCGTTCAAACCAATTTTCCTTAAAAGCGTTCATTGCTCTGTGTTACAAAATGCCTCTTATGTTGAAACTAAAAAGTAATGAGTAAAATCAAAATAATTAAAGTGAATTTTTCAACAATAAACGTGTGGGACAGCAAAAAACCATACGAAAATTACTCCTAGAGTTACTAACTAATATTTTATTCTCTCTACCTTACTGTAATCAACACAGTGCACTTTATATTCTGTATTTGTTTGTCAGTTCAACACAAAGCAGATACCAGAGTTGCAGCTGAAGACTGCTCAGCCAGTGTCAGCTGTCCGCAGCTCCAAGTTCTGCAACGGTCGAATGCTAGAAGTATTTTGCCAACTAAAATATCCATCACTTTATACATCCCTGTGAGTCGATATTTTTACAAATAGTTAATAAGAAGTATGGTCAGATAAAAGAAATGATTTGTTCATCATTGGCATACAATACACCACCTTATCCACTGAGGGCCATGCGGGCTGACAAATTAAAGGAGCTGAGTGAGGTTTAAAAAGTGTACCGTAAGGAGTAAGATCAAAATAAATAGCAACTTAAATCATGATATCTGCTCATACTGCTCACAGTAGTGCACTTAAAATGAATTATAAAAAATTCTTATTGATATATGCTATCAAGTTAATCAGTAAAAGTTTTTTAGTATGTGTATCCTTGAATTGCAACTTAAATGTTGACAGCCGTTAAATTATCCAGCTGATCATAGGGTAAACAAATTAGTTCTCCATAAGGATAATGCGGGAACTTCAAAGGCCATGAGGCCGAGCCCCAAGCAACCTTTTTACATGTTTACATGTTAGACCTTAAATGACATCTACTCAAAGAGATATTTCAAATGAGCCGTAAACTAACATAATCGGTCGAGTAAACCACGGAGGAATTCTGACAACAAGTTCAAGTATGATAATTTTGACAGCTTGACAAAACAGTCCCCATAAGACCACAAGGCTCTTTCGAGAATGCCAGTAAAAGCCTGGATTCTCATTAGAAACAAATTCTGTTGAGTGACTGGACTGATCATCTTGCTGCTGTGTCTGCAGGAGTACGGAGGTGTCTACCAGTGCTACAGTGGATGTGAGTCAGCTGCCGTGGTTCACTGATAGTTCTCAATGTAACCTGGAGTTGCTGGATAGATTGTGCAAGGCTCTTGGAGATCTCCCTGTAGCCAAAAGTCTGTGTGTCCAAGGTCTTCCACTGTTCACTCAGTTTACTGTCGCAGTTGTGTTCCTACTGGCACACTCATTCTATCAGGTCAGTCTAAGTCTAGCGCAGCATCTGTTTCTGTTACAATGTTACAATTCACACGTTTAAGTTTTTGTGATGCAAGAATTCTAAGAAACCAGAGTTTAAACCCGCAGATAATACTGTTAGAGTATTTTCACTGCCAAAACTATCAGAGTTGGGTTAGAGAGTTTTTTTTGCTAATGTATTTTTCTTCTTTCTTTATGTTAACTGCCTATCTGGTTGAGTGCCAACAAAGCAGTGTTCATTTCATGTGTGTTTTTATTATTATTGTTTTTTGTATGGGACAGTCCAAACCCATACCCTGGTTTTTTAATATCTAACGTTGACATTTTTTGTTAACATCATTATTTAATAGCCTAGTGATAAATGGCATCTAAATCCAGAAACGATCTCGCTTGGAATCGAACCGGTGCGATAACCACTTAACTACCTAGACAATATTGTTGCCTCTGCTGTGTGCTAGTGAGACAATTTTTATACGTGTTGTTTGTAACAGGTAGGGTTGTCAGTGGAGGGGGATGTGATACTATGCGGCTACAAGCAGGCTCTAGGCACAACAGAGTGGCTTCACACAGTGTTGTCTCACATGCGTCGTCTGCCGGCGACCGAGGCAGTATTGTCTCTGCTTCCCATCAACATGTTGTGTGGTTGGTAGCTCTTTAATTTCCACTTAATAAGAAGTAGCAGATGAACAATAAAGTGTCATCAGTATTTATGTAGCTTTAACGTTCCCAAAATTCTCTGTGATCCAAGTGTTTGACACCGCTCTAGTTTATTAATAAATCTGAATTGTGCGTGAAATTTTCAGATCCTTCATACAGCATGAAGAATGGGGTTTCATTCTACATGTGCGTGTCCAGCATAAACAATGCGAGGTTGTTGCGCTCAATAGAGTACGAGGTCCAGAGGATAATGCACAATGACCCTTCGATACTTCACAGTGACCCGGCAATACTGCAAAGTGGCCCGGCAGTGCTACACAGTGACCCGGCAGCACTACAAAGTGACCCGGCAGTACTACAAAGTGGCCCGGCAATACTTCAGAGTGATCCAGTAGTACTACAAAGTGACCCGGCAATACTTCAAAGTGATCCAGCAGTACTACAAAGTGGCCCGGCAATACTTCAGAGTGATCCAGTAGTACTACACAGTGACCCAGCAGCACTACAAAGTGACCTGGCAATACTTCAGAGTGATCCAGTAGTACTACACAGTGACCCAGCAGCACTACAAAGTGACCTGGCAATATTTCAAAGTGATCCAGCAGTACTACAAAGTGGCCCGGCAATACTTCAAAGTGATCCAGTGGTACTACAAAGTGACCCGGCAATACTTCAAAGTGATCCAGCAGTACTACAAAGTGGCCCGGCAATACTTCAGAGTGATCCAGTAGTACTACACAGTGACCCAGCAGCACTACAAAGTGATCCAGCAGTACTACAAAGTGGCCCGGCAATACTTCAAAGTGACCCGGCAATACTTCAGAGTGATCCAGTAGTACTACACAGTGACCCAGCAGCACTACAAAGTGATCCAGCAGTACTACAAAGTGGCCCGGCAATACTTCAAAGTGATCCAGTAGTACTACACAGTGACCCAGCAGCACTACAAAGTGATCCAGCAGTACTACAAAGTGGCCCGGCAATACTTCAAAGTGACCCGGCAATACTTCAGAGTGATCCAGTAGTACTACACAGTGACCCAGCAGCACTACAAAGTGATCCAGCAGTACTACAAAGTGGCCCGGCAATACTTCAAAGTGATCCAGTAGTACTACCCAGTGACCCAGCAGCACTACAAAGTGATCCAGCAGTACTACAAAGTGGCCCGGCAATACTTCAAAGTGACCCGGCAATACTTCAGAGTGATCCAGTAGTATTACAAAGTGGCCCGCCTGTAATAAACAATGAGCCAATGATAGAAATTAGTAATCCTGTCACAGTACTCAATGACCCTGCAATACTGCACAGCAAACTGGCACCACCCCAGAATCACAACTCCTCTGGGCTGGGAGATAGGTCACTTGTTCATGAGAGTGGCTCAAGTACTCCCATGGATCTCACCACGTGACACCCAGCTCCAGTCTCTACTCAACAATATGACAACCTGCTCTTTAAAATTCATTTTCTCAAATTATAAACTTTGAGTTGTATAAGAATTGCAGTATTATAGTTTCAAGAAAGTAATTTAGAAAATATTTGTATATATCTTTGTGTATGGTGCATTTTGATTTTATTAAGTTGTAAAAATAGAGTATAGTCATTAATTGGTAATATTAATTTCTGACTTGGTTACAGTTCATTACAAAGTGTTACAAAGTGTTACAATGTGTGAAGATAAATATCTTAGTTTCATGAATTTTTGTTGGGATGGTAAGGCTTTATGATAATGGCAAAGAGCCTGTCCTAGTTTATGAAACACAAAAACTTTAAACTTGGAATATTATGAGCCTTGATGGCATTTTCAATTATGGAAGTACGAGTTGATTCCTTACCAACTCAAACCTTCCTTGGTTGAAAATACTTTCTGTTGTTTCGATGTTGCTTTGTTTTGATGTTTTGTACAAGTTTACAATTACTACATTCTTTAACCTTCACAGCGGGGTGAGAATACAGAAGTGAATAAAGTGGTTCTTTAAATCCTCTGTAAAAACAGTTATACACTCACCAATCATAATACAGGTAGAACCCAACTCGATTGTACTGCTTATGTTAAAGAGTGTCTCCTTGGTTTTATTTTAGCGAATTTCCCTATAGAGAAGTAGCTAGAGTAGGTGGCATGGTAAGACCTAGGCCCGGGACCGATTTACTTTTCCATTTTGATGTCCCCAGAAGCCAAAAACACCATTCGTTCAATTTGTTCATTTTTATATAGGCTATGTATATATATATATATATATATATATACACGTGTCCGTGAACACGATAACTTGAGTAATTTTTGTCCGATTTTGATGAAATTTGGTTTGAAGGTGTAAGGCAGGATAAACATTAATGAGTTTGCGGACCATGGGAACGGGGTTTTACGGGGTAAAAATTGGTTTTTAGCGAATTTCCCATATAGGGAATAAGCTATTACCGTAGTACTCATGGTAAGACGTGGACCCAGGACCAATTTACTTTTTTGTTTTTAGGTCCCTAGAGGCAAAAAACACCATCCGTTTGAATTCATATATATATATTATATATGTGTCCGTTAGCGCGACAACTCAAGGAAATATTATCCAATTTTGATGAAATTTGCTATAAACGTGTAATACTGTAAGCATGCATCAAGTGTAAACATCCTGTAATATATTTTGAATGCTTCATTTCGTTATAGGTGAAAAAATTAATGGAAAACTTGTTTTATATGTTTCTAGCATTATATTAATATTAGACTCAGGTTAATTTACAGAGTGCAGGTATTTTAAACGTATTGTGCGCAGATTAGTGAGGGAAAAGCGGGATTTTTATGCTTGTGAGGAGGGATTTCTTCCGGAGCTGTGTGGCAACACTACTCTACTCAAAGAAGGGTAGCACTTTGTTTGTAGCCTCAATTCTGTCTGGATGAATACAATTTGATGAAAAAAAATTTCAGGCCCTGGGGTCGAGTACTGTATTAATTTTTTTTTAACAATTGTTACTACTCCCTGTAACTTTAACTACTGCTGTTTATTTTTAAATCTATTAATTTTATTAACTAGAGAAAGGAAACATAACTCTAGCTGTGAAGATGAGATTACAGGTCCATTGTAGCCCTGGGAAAGCCAGAGTGTAAATATAACTGACCAAAAGACTATTCTTTGACTGATTTCTACGATAACTTAATTTGATTTGTAAATATATTTTAGTTTAAGTTTGTATCATTATAATTCGTATACAATAGTACAATAAAGAAATGTCATTTACTACCTATCTGTTTACTGAAATATTGTCCTACTGTCATCTTTTCTCAGTTGAGGTTATTTTTCTTAAAACATTTAATTGGTGTAATAATCAGAATACAATAAAACTTTATTTATACATTTCAAACAATTCAACATATGACTATGATTTTCAATCAAATATAAATGTTTAAAAAAATAAAATAAAATGAAAGCTCAATAGAGCAATGGGGGAATTGCGGCACCATCTTCAAATTGAATGCTTCGAATTTTTCGTCTAGTTCCCCGTAGCCTTAGCGAAACTGCTCGAATGATGGAAAGCTGGCTTTGGATCCTCAACCATCCGATAATTTGGGAGTATGGTTTTCTCCATTTTACAGCCAGGGCTTCGCTTGTTCTCCTCTGAAACGCTTCATATTCTTTGTGGGGGACTCCTTCCGTGGAACATATTAATGGTGTGAAGCTTCCTCTGATGTCTTCGGCTGCTTTGTCATATTTATTGTGTTTCTGAATGGCATGGTTTCGAGATATTGTTCCCCATTCTTGGTTGGCGTAAGAGGGAGCGTCAGCATTAACAATGCGATTATCAAAAAACGCTACTCTCTCAGCCTCACAAATACCATTAACTTTAAAATCAGCTTTTAAAGCAGGCACATTGTTTGCAGGGTCAGCTTCTCTCATAATAGGCTCGACTTCAACCCCTTTCCAGGCCATATTTGCTATCGCAGCACAGTGGTCTCAATGTTGATCATGCCCATGTTTGATCAATCCTCCTTTTTTACAATTTAATGCATGTGTTAGATTCATAGGTTGATCACAACCATCACATCGTACTGGTAAATTTCTTAGTGTGCGGCCATAGCGAATTGACAAAGCATCTCTGAATTGATCCGGGGACAAATCCGTATGATCAGATGCACATGGTGTCACAGTTAACCATTGGCTAGTATTCCCTGCTACAATTCTAATTATTGGCTTCTTTTGACTTTCAGGAAGTAATTCCATAATTCGTTCATTATTTGCTTTAGCCAACATGTCTTTTTCTAGTTTTCTCTTCTTTATTACATCTTGTAGTGTTGATACATGATCATTAATCTTTAATGGTTGTCCATTTTTAATGGCTAATATTAATTTTTCTGTGCATTGTTTTGATGCTTCAAATGAAATACCATCGTTCTTTGTCGGGTCCTGAATATTTAAGCCTCCAAAACGAGTAGGGAGAGAGAACAAGTCATGTTCAAGTTCAGAAATCTCTTTTTCGAAAAGGTTGGGAGTGAAATGGTGATGTATGGCAGTTTTTAAATCTTCGTATTCTTCACTAAATCCCTCTGTTACTCTTTGGAGAAATGCCCATTCATTTTGTAATGACTTAGTAAAGGCAGTATAGGCTGCTTGAGGACTTTTATGTGCAGCTATGCCAAATTTCTTTATACAATCAACCCATTTTTTTACTTTTTCTTTCACGAATTCCTTCTTTTCTTCTGAGCTACCAATAATATACCCCCTAAAAACCTGTACGATGTTACAATTTTCACTTGTAGGTCTCTGAAAATTTCTTCTGCTTTTAGCGAATTTCCCATATAGGGAATAAGCTATTACCGTAGTACTCATGGTAAGACCTGGACGCGGGACCGATTTTTTTTTTCGTTTTGAGGTCCCTAGAGGCCAAAAACACCATCCGTTCAAATTCATATATATATATATATATATATATTTATATATATATATATATATATATGTGTCCGTCAGCACGATAACTCGAGCAAAAATGATCCGATTTTGATGAAATTTGGTACAAACGTGTAAACGTACGTTTATTCGAACGAGTTCGCGATCCAGCATGATCGAACCATGGGAACGGGGGTTTACGGGGGGTTTTACGGGGTAAAAATAGGTTTTTCCCATTTTTGACCCAAAAAACATAAAATTTAGCAATTTCTTTCCAAACCATTTTGTAGAGCTTAAAAAAACAAATAATTTAGTATATTGAAGCGTTATTATGCGACTAATGGTTACGGAGAAAATTCAAAAAAATTTTAAATTTAAAATTCCCATGTTATTCTTATGGAGAATAAGTAAACTGTTGTAGTTTGTTTGTTTGTGAAATATTTTGATCAAATTTGGAAAATGTTTTCATTTCTTACTAACTATTCACATTTACAAAAAAAAAAAAAAAAAAACAGTTTTGCCCTCCCTGATGCAGCAAACCTAAGTACTTGTTAAACTAATTCTATTTAAATCAAGAATAAATGTTATATTTTTAAGTAGACATTTCAGTATAAATCCAATCAGTCAAATGGAAATTCGCTTAGTCTGCAGGTTTGCTGCGGCGGGGGTATTTCTTTATATTCAGGTTTTACTATCAATACACTTTTCTTGGGTTCTGGGTAATACCCCCATTTTGGCCCTTCAACACGTAAAGCGTTAAACCATTCTCTAACTTTAAGTATTTCACCGAAACATGCAGAATCATCAGCGTACCAGTTTTGCTTCCAATTTAGGCTTTTTAGTTTTTTTACCAAAGGTAATATGCCAATTGCATACATTAGGATGCCTAAAGGGTCTCCCTGAGTGGTTCCTTCTTGACTAAGGATGATTTTATTGCTTCCTCTAAACATAATGGTTGCATACCTTGGTATGTATTGAATAGGAAACGAGCGCAACGAGGCCAAAGCACCCTAGCATTCCACAGAGTTAAAGGCCTGCTCAAGGCGTTGAACGCATTTGAAGCATCTACAAGTAAAATACAATTTTGGTTCATTGAATAGGTCCGTCATAGCATGTATAGCACCTTCTATTCCAGCTTTCGTTCCGGCGCAGAGTTGGTCAGATCCACATATTTCTTGAACATCGTCACCTGTTACAAAAGCCATGGTTTTTGCACATAGTCTCTGCAAAACTTCTCCAACTCCTATTGGGCGAATACCAGGGTATTTGTTCAGTGCTAATCCTCTTCTAGCTAACAGAGCTCTGATCGAGTTCCAGTTTACTATCCCGTTTGCCATCCATCGAGTTAACGATGCGACTGCTTCCCTTAAACGAGTGCTATGTGCTCCATAGCGCAGCAACATATTCTTCCATTGATCAGCATTTGTTCCGCTAGGGCCAGCACTTCCATGCAAACGTCTAGCCATCTTCTCTATGTGGTCACTGGATATATCTACATCTACCATCAATGGTAAGTTCTCATCAGCTAGAAAGGTATTGTCATTCGGAACCATTTGACGTGGGTGCTTATTTTTTAAAACTTGAAAAACATTTTGACCATCAGGAAGGATATCGTCAGGTGTGAGTACTCCATCGCCGGAGCGATCTGTGAGCCGTCTTGTAGCTTCACGCAATTTTCCTTGTAATACCAATCTTGTGAAGATTCTTATTTTCTGGTCTTCTTCTTGGTGTTCTTGTGATGTTTTCATTTGCCGATCACATCTCTCAGCTTCACGTATTAATTCATCAAATTGATCATTTTCCCACATTTCCATTCTTTTCTTCATCAAACGTCTTATGTCAGACCCATTTTTTATCATTTTATCTTTTTGAAGAATGGTAGCACATAAGAAAAATATTCTTTCGGTTGAATTTATACCATTAGGGACTGCTTGGATCTCTTTGGCTAGAACATCTACAAATTGCCTTCCAATTGAACCTTGTGGTATTGTATATTGTCTTCCTTTTAATTTCATTGCACAAAGCCACCGTTTGTGCCATTCATTGTTTTCTTGAGAACTTACAGAGTTAAGAAGTGGAACTCCGAATCCTCTGGTAAATAACTTGTTCATAAAATTGTCTTTAATCATATCATCTTGATTGACATCGTCTGCTGTTACAAGAAATTGAACACTTCCGTGGTCATAGCATTCATTGTATACAGCTTTATTTGTATTATCGGAAATTGGAGTTGGTTTGGCTTTAGTTTTTACTTTTGAGGTCCTAAATTTCACTTCTCTGGAAATGCTTTTAGAAATTTTACTATTAGTAATCATCTCATCACATATTTTATCTTTTCGATTTATTTGGCTGACTATACTT